GAAGTGCAATGGAGGTCGCCAACCTAGGCCATGGGCCTTCCTGATCACCCATTGACCCCGTCCAAGTAAGTTAGTGTATAATATTCTTAATCTTCAAATGTATACCAATTAACTAACTATATAGGGTGAAAAAATGAATTAAATATACAAAGATAAGATAAAAATAAAAATAAAATATTAAATAAAGAAAATTTTGTGTTGTATAAGGATTAAAGTTCAATTTAATTATGAAACATTTTAGCATTTCCTACACTTAAAACTATAATAAAGGAAGATAAATATTATAGTTTATACACGTTGGCCAACTATCGAACAATATAACAATTATCAAATGTTAAATATGGCTAAGATAATCGACAACTTTTAAATACATATAAATAATTTGTATGCAAATATTTTGTAATTTTATATATTATACATGTATAATATAATATACAAATATGAATATATAGTAAATATTAAATAAAATTAAAATTTTATATAATTTTGTATATTATATATAGTATATACATAAATAATATAATATATAAATATGAATATATATTGAATATTGAATAAAATAACTTGTCTGACATTCAAATAAAATAAAAAAAGTTAAAAAACAAAAACACGAACATGTCGAACAATTCGAACTATTCGAACAGTTCACGAACAAGTTCGACTAGATAAACAAACGAACAGGAACGTGTCGAACCAATAAACGAACGAGCACGAACGAAACTTTTTGTTCGTTCACTAAATGAACTAACACGAACATGTTCGAAAAAATAGTCAAACTCGAGCTCGAACACCTTAAGCTCGGTTCGGTTCGGTTACGTTGGATAACAGCCCTGGTAGTGGCTAAATTTGATAAAGATTTTGCAACCTAGGGATTGATCGATTGATTGATTGATTGATTTAATGTAGGAGTGTCCAAAGTAGTTGAGGATTGTTTGCAATGGCAGAAGATATCGGAATTGTCTCAAACACCACCACCACCACACATCTTCTAATTCCCGATAAAGGTCAGCAGCAGCAGCCACATAGGAGCAACAACGACGATGCGGATGTGAATGTGATGCTTCTGGTGCGGTATTTACACGGCGCAACCCTCGATTGTTCGGTAATCTCAACCCAAAACAACTCCTTCAAAGTGGTGCTTGATGATGGTAATCTTTCGAGCTTGCCTCTACTCAAAGAAGATAACTTTGATCCCACTGTCACGTCCCCCTGTGTTGTTGTTTATGCTACTTGCAACTCATGGATTCTGTATAGTACAAATATTTCTGATATTCCATTTGACGCTCTGTGGAACCCCACAACCGGCGAGAATGCAACTCTTCCCTTTTTTGCTTTTGGTTCCCAACGTTTGTCAGTCCCTTGGGCTTATGGGCTCGGGTACGATCCTGCAGGGGACACCTATAAGGTGTTGAGATGTCGTCTGATGCATAATTTAACAAGTGACAATGAGATTGGGAAGCTCTACGTTGAGCTGTTGTCGTTGTCGGCCGCAAGTGATTCGTGGAAGAAAATTCACTGCCCTCACGACCCCTCTGAAATTCGACCCTATGAAAAATCGCCTCTTTACATCAATGGCTTTTGTTATTGGGCAACTGACGTGGGTAGCTTTGTTTCGTTCGACTTTGCTGAGGAGAGGTTTGGGCCTCTGATACCCAAGCCCAAGAGCAATGTTTCGTTCAACCCTACCTACTGCACTGTTCGTCCTGTTGAGTATGATGCGTCGCTTGCTGCTGTTGTTTTCGAGGAAGGTAGATGGCTGTGTAGAAACATTGATCCTGCTGCTACTTCTGCTGAAACGAAGCCTTTTGTTTTTGAGATTTGGGCATGGACAGAAGCCGCCGAGACGTGGTCTTGTGTGTTCACAGGGGAAATCCCGGCTTCAGATGCTTATGTCGATAGAGTTTTGGGCCTCTACAAGAACTATAATCTCTTTCTTTCTGGCTCCTATGGTGACCTACTGGTTTACGACCTTGAATCTCGCCGATTGGTGAATCTCGGCATCCGTGCCAAGTCTCCGGGTATGATGGAGGTCTTCCCTTATGTTGCCAACGCCGAATCCAGCTTCAAATCCTCCTCAAGAAATCTCTGCTCTGGCGAAACAACCACTAGTGTCGATGGTGCTCCTGCTACTATTCGGGCATTTACTCGCAGTTTGAAACCTAACGACAGTCTGATGCTTATGGTGCAGTGTATCGTCGACTGGACCCGCATTTTCTTTGTGATCTCAACGGAAAACAACTCGTTCAAAGTGCTGCTACAAGGTGATGATAATCATCTCCCAGATTTGTCTCGACTCGAAGCTGAAAACTACGATCTCTATTGTAAGAATGCCAAATATCACGTCGAAGCGAGTTGCAACACATGGATGCTGTGGTCATGTACCGCAAATCCCGCACATTCGGGTCTTCTGCTTCTGTGGGATCCTAAGACAGACGTGTTTATAACCCTTCCTTCTTTTGAGTCGGAGCCACGCAGGCCTTGCCCAACCGCCACTACCTTGTGGGGTTTCGGTATTGGGTTTGATCCTTCTGCACCTGGGGACTATAAGGTGGTGAGATGCCGCACGTTGGAGTATTTTAATTCCGACAACGAGGCCTATGCGGAGTTGTTTTCGCTTGAAACTTGGAATGAAATCCCGTATCCCCATGATCTTGTGTGGGAAGTCTATCAGTACCCGTCGCTTTTCATCAATGGCTTTTATTATTGGATGGCAAAGCATTCCACCAAAAATGAGGTTGCTATTATTGCGTTCGACTTTGCTAAGGAGGAGTTTCCCCCTGCTCTCATCCCTATGCCCGGTAGCAAAATTCTCAGAGACATCACGATTTTGTGTGTTTCTCTTGCTGAGTTTTGTGGGAATCTTGCTGCTATTATTTATAATTATCACAAACATGAGAAGAAAAGTATGAGTATTGGTAATCCAAGGAAGAGGAAGAACAGCAGTGCCCCTTTTACATTTGAGATTTGGGAATGGAAGCACTGCTGCTGGTCCCGTGTATCCACTTACGAAGTCCCTCCTACTCCTACTCCTACTCCTGTTGTTTTTCTGAAGGTCATCGGCCTCTACAAGAATGATAAAGTATTTCTTCAGGACTCACAGGGTTACCTATGGCTTTACGATCTTGAGACGCTGAAGCTGGAGAACCTCGACATCCGTGACGATAGTTCGGCTCTGACGGTCTTTCCTTATGTTTGAGAGCGATCCATCTACATGTTGATGAAAGTAAGTGAGATCTAGTGAACGTGGTTTTGTGGCTAGCAGCACAACACATTAGGAAGGTGTCGTCTCTTATAATCTTATAATCTTACCATTAACATCAGAACTGATGCTGCAAAGTCTCTTCAGTTAAAAGTAACTTATTGGTCTTTGGCTCTTTGCCATGATAATTTTTTTTTTTTCTTTCCCAACCTGTATTAATAATTTCGAACATTGATACCCGTGAGAAGTTAAAATCATTTTATTATTTAAATATTAATTAATAAATTATTTAAGACACAATGTGATTTTATTCAGACACAATATTCAATTCAAAAAATTTATTTATTTACTATTATTTTTTTTATTAGTTTTTCTTTTGTATGTCTTGACTATTTGATATATAAATTTTAGTATTTTCAAGTTTATAAAATATTATAAATGTATAAGCTCACAATGATATTTGCATACAAAGTAATTACATGTACTTATAAGATTGTTGATTATCTTATTATTATTTAACAATACATAATTTTTTACATTGTTCGATAGTTGATCAACATTTAACCCATAATATTTATCTTCCTTTATTATAATTTTTCCTTTATTACAATTTTAAGTGCAGGAAATGTTCAAATGTTTGATAATTAAATTTTAATTTCTATTAAATTTAATCCTTATACAACACAAAATTTCATGGTTAAATATTTTATTCTTGTTTTTATAATTTTTATTTATATTTATTCCTTTAATACAATCCTTAGGGAAGTCAACCTTTCCTACATTTGTAACAAAATTAAATACTTATACTATGAAAATAGCGTAATTTTGTTTACATTATTATTAATTTTTTGTTTTTTGTTTTTTTTTTTTTTTTTTTTT